GTGGTTGTTGCTTTTGTTGTTGTTGTTGTAGTTCTTTGTGTTGTTGTTGATGTTGCTGTTGTTGTTGTTGTTGTTGTTGTTGTTGTTGATGTTGTTGTTGTGGTTGTGGTTGCGGTTGGGGTTGTGGTTTCGGTTGCGGTTGGTTGCGGTTGCGTTCGCGGTTGCGGTTGCGATTGCGGTTGTTTGTTGTTTGTTATTTGTTTTGTGTGTTGCTATTTGTTCTGGTCAATTGTTGTTTGTTGTTTCATATTGTTTGTCGTTGTCTGAAAGTTATTTGTAGTTGTTTGTTGTTGCTTGTGTTATTTTTTTTGTTGTTGTTGTTGTTGTTGGTGGTGGTGGTGGTGGTGGTGGCGGAGGCGGCTCTGGCGGTGGTGGTGGTGATGATAGGGGTGGCTCTGCTGCTGCTACTGCTGCTGCTGCCGCTAATGCTGGTGATGTTGTTGTTGCTGCTTGTTTGATGTAGTCATTGGTGTTGGTGTTGATGTAGCTCTTGTTGTTGCTGATGCTGCCGCTGCTGCTGGTGCTGCTGCTGTTGTTGCTGTCGTTTTTAGTGTTGGCGTAGGTGTTGGCGTCGTTCATGTTGCTCCTGCTGTTGATGACTTGGTTGTGCTGCTGCTGTTGCTGTTGTCGTGGTGCCTTTTGTTGTTGTTGCTGCTGCTGTTGCTGCTGCTGGTGAAGTTGTTGTTGTAATTATTATTGTTCTTGTCCTTGTGGTATTTGTATTGTTGTTCTATTTTTCTTGCGATCTTGTTCTTGCGGGTTCGCGCTACCTTAAATCTAACGTCCATACTATCTTTTCCTCTGAGATGCCGCGAATCTTCCACGAGCACATTATCTTCTTCTTTACCCACCATCGGTTCCGACTCGCCCTCTGCGCTGGCCCATTCCCACTCGGCGAAACGGCTTCGTACCTCTGCGCCAGGACATACCAAACTGGGGCTTGGTTCTGCCCATTTTCGTTTTCTTGCAGGTGCCTTGTGGTTCTTCTCTTTGAGCATCGCGTGGGGAGTTTTACCATTGCTGGCCCGAACCAGTGTCGACGCGGACCGCTCAATGAGGTAGTCGGCCACGTCCAGGTGACCGTTCTCGATGGCGAAGAAGAGCGCCGTCTTCCTGGCCTTGTCTCGAAAGTTAACCTCAAAGCCAAGATTGAGCAGGAACTTGATCATGAGCAGGTTGCCGCGCTTTGCAGCCCAAAAAAGAGGTGTCTGACCATTCAGGTCAACCTCTTCCAGATTGATTCTCATGGCTATGCACTGCTTTGCCAGTTCTTCGCAGCCTCGGCGGCGTCGCGCCGCGACAAAGAACAGAAAATTTTGTCGAAGAGCGGAATGTCGCCATGACATTTCTGCACTTGCTAAAGCCTTCTTGGCATCAGCAAGATCTCCGTCTCTGACAATTTCGAAGAGATCATCGTGGTTCATATGGGGATCATCCGCCATGGTGGCGGAATGCACCTCTTGGATACCGGGCCAATTTTGAGCCCGAGCATCTTGCGAAGACGACCAGTCGAGGAGATTCATGGACCAGAAGAATATGCAACATGTCATCTGCCTAAAACTACATACTTGGGGAAAACAGAAACCAAGTCCAGCAGCCCTCACTATGCTAGCAACCTGCTAAGAACTGCTTGGTCACCGTCGAAATCATCATGACCTCTGCCGCTACCTCTTGCAACAAAGACAACAACCACATCGCTAGCAAGTCCACCACCGGCACAATCAGCAGAAGCAGCAGCAACAGCAGCAGGGGCACCCTGACATGATGAGTCCAGTTGTCCTGAGGTCAGGGAGTCATGTGATGACATCATGCATGCTAGCACATACATGCACAAAATTTGGGGGTTGGTGCTGCCCACATGAAGAAGTTACCATGAGCAGGCCAAGCTCGCCCTAAGTTGGGAAACTGCGGTGGTTGATGATTCAGCTCAACATGCACAACAGTCAGGGCAATGCTGAGTTGCCTGGCTGGTTGTAGTTGCACCGGGAAGCTCCGTCGACCATCTCCTTCACGAATTTCTCCTCTACACCTGAGCTTTCGTGAGTGGGTGTATGGGTGCAGTCCACGTCTCACGCTGACCTCGCAACATGGGCAACCGAACAGCAGATCGTGGGTGGTCACTGTTGTTCTACAACTACACTGCTACAAGCAACGACAGGAAGAGTGGTGCTCATAATCAGTACCTCTCAGCCGCTAGTACTTGGACTGATCCTGGTTTGGGCATGCCAAGAGAATACTAGCAGAAGACCTACATGCCTACATGGGTCTCATCCCAACCCCGACTGGGAGTATAAGATGCGTGGAGGTTTCGGTGAGAGTTGCCCACAGCTCCTCTTCCTCCTGTCTCTGCTCAAGCAACTTCCAAAGTCAAAGGGTAGGCTGGGATCCTTCTGCGGTAAAGCCACCGAGGCTCTTGAAGAAGTCATAAGCTGACGTCTGGGTTAGGTTGAAGACGCCCAAAGCCTCCAACAACGCTGCCGGGGTTTCGAAGCTCTTCTGCCCCTCTTGCAGGTCGTAGATTTTGTCGAAACCATCCACCGCATTGCGAACTGCCGGAATCACGTGAAGAGGGGAAAACCCATATCCTGAAGCTCCAGAACGCTCGATTTTCGGGAGGTCGAGAGCTTGCTTGTTTCGGTTACGTTTCATCTATTTGTCTTGATGTGCCATAGCGTCCTCAAAGTTCTGCGCTGATCTCAGGTATGCATCAGGCCCATTGGGCCCACATTATCGGGAATCCTCCTGCAGTTTCCGGCATCTCTGATACGGCCCTCTACGGTAACATACGGTAACTGGAAGGCCAACGAATGCTGTGTGCAGCTTGTGCCAGCTGCTAGTCGCCCCAAGCCGGTCACCCTGGTGTTTCGGCTTCATAGCCTGCAAGGGTGTAACCATCTCGAATCTCCTCCTAGAGCTGCAGTCCCGAATCATCCACAATTTTTGACGGCACAGGCTCGGAATAGAAGCTTGGCCCCCATGTCCAGGCGGCTGTCTGCGTCAACCTGTAGGGAGCGTTAAACCCAAGAGGGATTACGGGACATGAATCGTGTCCTCAGCCAAACATGATGCTTGTCATGACATTTTGCGATGTAGACATGAACAGATACCCCACACACCAACAATGAACACGAAACCCTAACATCTGGGGATGTTATGACTCCAGGACAGGAACGTCCATCCGATGGGCCTGGATGCGAAACTTGCTGCCATCCCAGATGCCGATGTCCGAATTCACGCCGTCCTTGGCTTGTATAGCCTTAACTATTGGAATGGGGGTGTAATGAATGAACGAATTATAACGGAGACGTTGACTCGACCAGAAACAGCGGTGTTTGGATTGAAACTCCACTGTGCTAGAGAGGAGACTTTGGCCAGAAGCACTCCCCAAGAAACTACCATACTGTAGTCAACTATTCACAAGCGGCCCAGTGCCCGAGGTTTGCCCCAGGCGAAAGTTAGTCAGCATGATGATAAGCTGCGGCCCAGTAACTATACTTAATTAATAAAGCTGAGGAACTTTAGCAACTACAATTTTCCGCGGCATGAAAGATACTTACTCATTACTCAACCCAGAACACCTGGCGAAAATAACACAGCCAAATCCCAAACCCAAAATGCCTTACACCCGAAAAGCCCCTCTACAAAAAACATTAAACCCCAAGCCCTAGAACCCCAAACTAAAGCATCCCCTGTCGGCCCAGGGGACGTCTCCGGCCTGCGGTTGCAGCCCGAAGTCTCTGGCGAAGCCTGGGCTGCGCGTGGCTTTTCCTCGTGTTTTTTTGAGGTGGCCCTCGGATTTACCGCCAAAGCCTGCTCGTCGTGCTACGAGTCACGTTCCTGCTGGCCAACCGGCCACAACGGTGCTTTCCAGGCCCTCCTTTCCCCGCATCCTCCTGCGGAACATCCAGTAGACTACCAAAACCTGACTAATCTCACCAACGGGCATGTGAAGGAGCGGGCCTCGAAAGTCGGGCGGAAGAACAGGAAGCGCAGCGGCAATAATCTACTGCAAAGTACTGGGTGGCTTGGGATCCTGCGCACAAGCATGGTGGGCGGCTTCAAGACAGGCGATTGTCTGAAAGGGACCGGCGTGGTGCAAGCCAACTGCTGCACACACTGCGAAGATGCCGGGAACAGCAGGGTAGGCCCGTGCATTGTCGCCCACCTGAAGAAAGAAGAGAGGATCGGCTGCAGTGCTGGCAACGGGCCACGGGCCGCACATGCTGCAAAAAAGGTGGCCTTGCCTGGGAAGCCTCCGTCGGCGGAAAGGTCAAATCGGAGGCGAGGACGGGTTGGCCACCCGGTGCAGAGCTTGGCAAGCTAACCCGGAAAACAGCCCACAAACGATCATAGGATCTTGCCCACTGGTCGCCGCAAAGGCACCTGTGCCAAAAGGTGACCCACAACGGCAAGGGGTGAGGAGAAACATGAAGACAGGATGGCAAGCTGATTGAGGCGTGTAGCGTTCCAAGTACATCCTGAAAGCCGTCAATTTGTGTCTCATGCAGAAGCTCACGCTGAGACACATCAGCTCCTGGAACCGGGAACAAGCCAGAGTCCAGAGGACTCTGACTCATCAGCTGCAGCCCTGTGGCCACCCAAGCACATCAGGGGGGTCTGGAATGCAGAATCACATCGGCTGAACCCAACAACAGGAGCTAGTGGATACCAGTTGTAGTATTCCGCCTCCTCGTCTGAATCCTCGGCCCGCCGGTCCTGCAGAAGGCCAAACAGCCCTTCGGCTGGATCATCCCGTGCCTCAAACTCAAGCTGCAGTGCAGCAGCTGGGCGACCCATGGCGAAACAAAAGTCTCTTCTACCACAATTGTGCGGCACCACACGTTGGTTGAGCCAATCTCGAAGAGACTAGGCCCTCGTGCACTCGTCAAGCCATCACAGGGGCCTACTTGGGGAGCGCCCCAGCAGGCAAGGATGGCTGCTGCGATCCACCTGTGCCAGATCCGTCCGCACCCGGCTCCAACTCGGTGCACTGACAATGTCGCATTGCGTCGCGGAGTGCGAGAGCCCTCGCGTGGCTGTTTGCTCAACTTTTGTGCCGCCTGGATGGTCTCGAGAAGCATCTTGTACTTGGCCTCCGCCGTCGCCTGCTCTTGCTGCTGGGCCGCTTGTGCCTCCAAGGCCTGGTCGATCATGACGTCCTCGTTGTCGGGGTCCATGCCAGTGCCACTCGGCTTGGTTCCTGAAGCTGGCTGTGCCAAGCCCCCTGAGTTGCGTCGTAGTCGGCCATTGTTTTCATCCTGGCTTCGGTTTGGACGCAACCAACTTGGTGAGGTACTCGTTCCCGCTCTTCTCGAAAGCTGCTCTCTCCGCCTCTATGTGGGTAATCTCCTTAAATTCGCCTAGGTTTGGCGAGCGACCAACTGATACAGAATTGGTTGCCCGATTGGCAGATTGGTATTGGCCGAGTATCGATGCGGCCTCCGGTGTAAGCTCTAGGTCTCCAGGGGCCTGTCGCTGTCCCTCCTCGTAGGCTGTGCTGGATCCGAAGATTGCTCTGGTAGGCCCGGGTCGACAAGCTAGGCACTGAAGGTAGCTGTGCTACATCCGGCCATTCCCACCCGCACCCGCAACTGCGGCGCCTTGGAGCCGCCCTGGCCTTTGCCCTCACCACGACTCCGGCTTGCATGGGGAGGGCTGCCTCCACGCCGCTTCATTGGGGACAAAAAGTGCGCCGTGTTTTTGCAGTGTATTTTGCATCTTTGACATCCATGACTGCGCCATGGTGCCCCCTGACTGGACTTCCCTGGCATGCTTGCGCCAGGCCTCCTCCGGCAGCGTGAAGGCAGAACGATGCAACTCCAATATCCGCATTGGCTTGTATACGGGTGGATGCAGGCTTTCTGCGAACTCGCGCGGCACCACGTGCTTCGTTACTGCCGAAAGCACTGCAGAAAAGGAGCCCACCAAAGGCCAGATAAACACATGCACTTCAGAGACTGGCAAGGTCACCGGGGCGCCACTCCCAACAAAAAGCGCTTCCACACACCTGTCCGGTCCAGTCGGCCACAGCAGCGAATGTCGTGGACAGGTAAATCCCAGTCAACCGAAGTTGAAGGAAACAGCAAGACCCTCGCTGAGCGTACAGGTCCTGACGGTTGATGTTCGTGGGCCCTCGAAAAAACCGGGCCGTGCTAGGGTCACAGCTGCAATGGCGCAATGGTTGACTCCGAAGAGAAACTGCACCAAGGGCCACTGCCATCCACTGCCAGCCAAACGCCTACATTTAGGGCCTAGGATTTAGGGGTTTAGGGTTTCGGGCCTGCTCAAGGGTTTAGGAGTCTCCTTTCTTTGTAGCAGGTCTCTAGCAGAGGTTTTGAAGGCTTCTTAGGGGTCTTGCGAGGCTGTTTCGGCTCTTGCAGGGCATGTTGGCGGCGTTTATGTTTTCGTCGGGAGTTTAGGGTTTATAGAGAGCAGTGCCCTTGATAGTTTGGGCTTCCAGGCTCTACTACAGGGCATGCGTAGAGTGTTGGGGATCAAGTTGGGAGCTCCAGGCTCAGCTGGGACTTCGGGCAACTGGGTTCGTCTCTCCGGCTTTCAAGTTCAAGATAGTTCAAGGATTCAGGGATTAGGCACAGAGAGTCCCCTGAGTCCTCCAAGTAAGCATCCTGATAACCTATGTCGGCCTCGGTGCTGAGTGAAAGTTATTCGACGCTGCTGTATGGCTGGAAGCCTTGACTCCAATCTGAGATGCCTCTGCATCTACAAGCCTTGCTAGACTGCATGAGTTCATGAAGACTGCATCTGTTCTTTCTGCAACACGGATGATGGCTGGTTCCTGGATGCCTCTTAGCAGCCGGAGACGTACCTGTTCCTGGAATAGATGGCCGTGCCTCCCACGTCCACAGTCACGTTGGCGAAGCTCCTCTCAAAGCACCATTGGGTGAGGAGACGAGGCTGGAATGACTCCAACATCAGCAGAACAAAGTCTGAAGAAGACTCCTTCGCTCTCAAGCTCGAGCAACAAATGATTGGGTGATTTGCCCAATGGAGGTGCACCTAGGAGGAAGAATCTGGCTTCACCTCGCAGCTTACGATCCGGGTTCAGGTTCTGTTGCGCAGTGTCGGGAATATATACTGATTGCACTAAGTCCTGCCTTTCCATAGCACAATATACCTCAATGCTCCAATGCAGCCCTAACTTTATAGAACCCAAGCCGGGCCGAGAATGTGCCCGTACTGCGCCAAACTTTGGAGCGTCCTCGTCAACGTTCGGCCACCCGGCTCACGGTTAGCCTGCATCAGCAGATTCGGGTGTGTTGAGAAGGTCTTTGCTCGCACGGGCAAAATTTGACAAAAAACTTGATCGGGGAACAGCTTCCTGATTCTCTCAGCTGCCGTCTCTGCAAGCCTTCATGAACATCAGCCGCGAGTCTTTCGCCAACCATGCCCAAGCGAGCGCAGCATCATCAGCATCAGCAGCAAAGCCAGGCGGTCGAGCATCATGAGCATCAATCCGGACTTTGCGGCATTTTGCGGAAACGGACGTGCAGCAGAGCAAGCATCATTACCAGCAGCCACAAAGTGCTGTTTTGGCGATGGCGGCATATCCGACACGCGTCATGGGCATCAGCCGGGATTCTTGTCGCAACGATGGGCAGCAGAGCGAGCATCATGAGCATCAGCCGGGACTGTTTTCCAATGATGTCCAAGCGAGCGAGAATCCTCAGCAGCAGCTGCAATGGCCAGTCGAGCGACGCATCACCAGCATCAGCCCGGATCCAGGAAAACGAGCATCACAAGCGGCAGCCACAAAATGCTGTTATATTCAGGCCGGGCGAGCATCATGAGCATCAGCCGGGATTCTGTTTCCAGCGATGCCGGATTCTGTTTTCAGCGATGCCCAGGCGAGCGAGAAACCTCAGCATGAGCTGCACGCGCGGCATTTTTACAACGATGGCAAAGTCCGGCGAGCTTCATAAGCATCAGCCGTGATTCTTTTTCCAACAGCGAGTGCTGCATCGTCAGCATCAGCCACATTTATTCACAGTGCCGGCAAAGGCGGTCGAGCACCCGGATTCTTATGGCAACAGCGGCCGGCAGAACGAGCCTCATCATCACCGTCATCATCATCATCATCATCATCGTCATCATCATTCTCATCATCATCATCATCATCATCATCTGCCAGCCGCTTTTTCAGGATGGCGGCAAAAGCTAGCGAGTAACATGAGCACCGTTTCTTCTAGAAACGACGGCCTGGAGAGCAGTCATCATCAGCTGGCAAAGGCGCACGAGCATCATGAGCGTCAGCCCGGACTCTTGTGGAAACGGACGTGCAGGAAAGCAAGCTTTGGCAGCAGCCACAACATGTTGTTTTGGCTACGGCTGCAAAATAGGCCAGCATCATAAGCATCAGCCGGCAGGAGAACGAGTATCGTGAGCATCAGCCAGGATTCTTTGTCCGACGATGTCCAGGCGATCCTCAGCATCAGCTGCAAGCCGTTTCGTCATGACATCAAAGTCGGGCGAGCATCAGCTGCAAGCTGGGTTTGTCACTGTGGCGGCAGAGGCGGTCCAGCATCATGAGCATAAGCCCGGATTCTTCTGGCAACGGCGGCTACGAGAGAGAGCATCATCATCAACCATGGACCGACGATGGTCCGGAGAGCGGGCACCATCCTCATCAACTGCAAACCCTGTTTCACGATGGTGACAGCGGCGCCCCAAAGCCCTCAACCTTGAAGACTAACCCCCCGATACCCCACCTCGAAGACCGTGATGTCGACACCGTCACCCAGCAGATCGCGCAGAAAGTGGACGGCGGACCCACCGTTGATGCCGGCACCTCGACGTACTGCGAGCAGCCCAGCGTTTATGGCTTCTACATTACTGGGTTCTGTTTTTTATTCTATAGGGTTCTATATTACGGGGTTCATATGATAGAGTTCCGAGTTTTAGGGTTTTTGGCTTTGGGTTTGGCGTTCAGGAATCAGGACTTCAGGCGCCTACCACAGCAACACATGGCACAGCCGCCGCAGCCGCCGCTGCTAAGCCGAACCAGGCCGACATTGAAAGGGGCAGCAGCATGGTAGTGGCGTCGTATGCAAAAGACGGAAGAGATGACAACAGATGCCCCTTGCATTGAGAGAAGTACTGCGCTACTTGTAACAGGTATATCCAAAAATACTGAAGGACCGATGCTCTCTCTGTCTCTCTCTCTCTCTCTCTCTCCCCCTCCCTCTTTCCATTCCAGACCTACTATATACTACTTAGACTACAACTATCCTGATTTGTCCAGATGGGTAGGTAGGCAGCAACATGCCCAACTGGAGAGCAGACATGGAGAACCACAGTGGAGGTGCTTGAACCGATCCTGATTCCGTGCACTCACCGTTTTCCGAGAAGGACCAGGATCTGCAGTCCCTGTCGATGTGCTTGTTGTTAGGGTTTAGGGTTTAGGGGTTTAGAGTTTAGGGGTTTAGGGGTTGGGGTTTAGAGTTTAGAAGTTACAGCCGCGTCCTCGTCTGCTTTTTTATCGGCCATCTTCTCCTCACCAGGTACAAGAGCTTGGCAGAGCTCTCGCTAAAGATCTGGGTGCAAAGGGTCACATGGGGCTTGTTCAACGTCAGGCTTCTCTTGAGGCAGATAATCTAGCATAAGCTTGCTGCCTGGGCTAAAATAGTATACAAGCGTTTTACTGCACCGCCTTAGTGCGATTTACTGTTGGTAGAGGTACATATTGTTTTGCATGTACATGGGTATGTGTGTGTGTATATATATATGTATATATGACAGGCACATAGACCCCTCATTAACAACCAGAAATCCTACGACCTGTAGCACTCTCTGTGTTGGAGCGTGGCATTCGGGTGTTTGAGCCGGGGGATTCCAGCCCCTGCGTGTAGGCGCTGACAGAAGATCATCTCTTGGAGGAGCTAGGGTTTAGGATGTTTGGGTGCAGGGCGTTAGGGAGAATCCCAGGGCTTCGGGTGGGCTAGGGATCCGTGTCGAGAGTATTAAGGTAGGACGACTGCAGAAAGACAGTAGCTGTAAGAGCCATTCAAGCAGGAAGCCCAGGGGTTAGTGACTGGTAGTGCGAATCTTCAGCAATATTTTAACCGATGTTATAACATAGCTTACGGCGAAGAAGCCGGCCATGGCAGTCAGAATCATGCTACATACAATGAAGCGGCTGCTAACTCAGATGATGATGGTGCCTATCTAAGAACAGCGATGTTAGTGCCGGTGATAATGATTTTAGTGATGGCGATGATGTTACCGATGGGGTCGTGACGCATTCTTATCGTCACAACCATCAGTATCATCACTGACTGTCATCACCATCATCATCACCGGGATTGCATGTAGAACTTCCGGTGAAACAAGCGATAACAAAAATACCTACGAATCAATAAAGACTGAACCATGTAGTGACAGCAGTAGTCACTTACAAACCGACCTTGGCACCCTGCACCTTGAAGGCAAACAGCCTAAACATCTCAAAACCAAAATTCCTGAACCTCAATCCTAAACCCTAAACCCTAAACCTCACACCCCGCCTGAAGGGCTTGCATGGCGAACTCGCGACGCTCCATGTCCTCACGGTCCGCCTTGAGCTTATCCTTGACCTTCGAGCTGGTCGTGTGGAAACACTTCCAACTACTCCTTGGGAGTGGTCGGAGCTAGGGTCTAGGGTTTAGGGATTAGGGTTATAACATAACTATAATATAACTTAGTATAACTATAGTATAACTATAGTATAACTATAATATAACAAAAATATAGCTATGGTATAATATACTATTATGTTTGCACATACACCCCTAGCATGTAAACATTTGAGTGTTCAAGCCTTCTCCAAGTTCCGCGTCACTCGCAGGTACAGTGAAATGTCATCATTTTGCGGAACCTTTGTTACGTCTACAGAAATGACACCAATGTGTACACACATGTGTGTGTGTGTATATATATATTCATACATACAGACATGCATAGATACATCTGTTCAAGAACATGCTGCTTCCGCCACCAGCATTGCCGTCATCAACAGCACCATCATCAGTGGCGGCAACTCCAATCATCGTCAACCTCATTGAGAATGGAATCATCGTGGTGATCATAATCATCGTCTTCTTCTTTGTCATTCTCGCTAGACTTGTCAATATTGGACAACCTGACTCAAATGCAAGTATTGCATACAACACATACAAGTTGGTTTACGATCACCCCGCCTTCTGCATCATTGTCTCGTGCTTCTCTTGCTCCATGTCCTCCGCAGCAGTGAATTGCATGGTGTAGGATGCAGGAAACCCAGAACAGCTTGCTCTGAAAAGCTTGCAGCCATGAACTCTGGAGCCAGAGCAATGACACCCCTGGCAACTGAAGTGATCGAGAAGCCGAGCGAAAGTCCACGTTACTCTGTGACATGATGTAGCAGCATAATTCTCTGCGGTGAAACTACACTAACAAAAAAAAACCCGAGCAGCCCCCTCCTTCACCCATTTCTGGTACTCTGCAGTGGTGGCATTCAACTTCTCCAGCCCACGCTTGGCCTCGTTGTGGATGGAGGCACTACGATTCTGGCGAGAAGTGATGGAAATGCAGTTTCCGTCAATGACATGGCGGCATTAATGGCATTACTAGTCTTACCGAAATAATTTAAACAATCAATAGTTCAATAGCACTGCTAGTAGCATCAACAGTGGCAGTAGCAGGAGTATCTGTCCGTGCCTATGCTTTTGACAAGGAGCACTTTCGGCGACTATCAGCTGCCGCTGCCTGAGCGAAGCAGCTCGGTTTCGAGTCTTGGGATTTGGGTGTAGGGTTTATAAGGGTTTAGGGTTTAGGCGGTTTATAGGGTCTAGGGATTAGGGTTCAAGATTTGTGCAGGGTTCTTGCTGTGGGTGAGGATGTGGAAGCTTGGGGTGTTCGGCCTGAAGGACGATGCAAAAGGGAACACCAGCACAGCCGCTTTCAGCTGTCCCTGAGCCACGGATAGTTGAGATAGATGCGCAAAAGCCCCAGACTCGGTTTGGGGGTCTTGTGTAGTACTATAGGGATCCTGCCCAGCTGGTCTGCCATGTCCAGCACTGTTTCAGCCTTTCTTTGGATCTGTGGCTCCTACGTGTGCAAGTCTAGCAACGCCCGGTGAGACAACAAACTCGGATCTCAAACCCCAATTCCTGAACTGGAAACTTCAGCAATCAGACCGTGCTCCGATCCCCCTGCTTCAGGACCGCTGGCGCAGGCGTGTTGACGGCTTGGGACGGGAGCTTGAACTTGGGCTTGCTCACGGATTCCTAGGACGGTCCGGGCAGAGGCAATTCTACTGGAGACATGCCACGACCTAGCTGTCGTGGCTGTAGCAAGAGCAGTAGCAGAAGCAGTGGAAGCAGTGGCGGGGGTGGTGGTTGGTAGTGGTCGTTGGAGGTCTTGGCGGTGGCGGTGGCGGTGGTGGTTGTGGTGG